ACCTGGTCCCAGAGGAAGCAGACCTTACTCTCAAGGAGTCCTGTTTGTCTGTTTCAAACTGTCTGTGGATTTCCCAAGGGCTGATACTAGAGGACTGCCTCTGTTTTTCCTACCTGTGAACTTTTTCAGGACAGAGAAGCAGGTACATGTAGGACATCCCTTGAAAATGTTGAAAGCCGAGTGAACACACCACTACCGATTGGGGTGAAAGAGTAACAGTTGAGACAAATAGTAGATAACCAAAAGCCAACAAAACTAGATAAAACAGACACATTCCTAAAAGCACACAAACTATCAGACTGACTCAAGAAAAATAGAACATCTGAATAGACCTGTAACAAGTAAAGAGATTAAATCAGTAATGAAAAAAAACTGCCAGCGAAGGCAAGCCCAGGACCAGATGGCTCCACTGGTGAATTCTACCAAATATTAAAGAAGAGTTAATGCAAATCTTTCTCAAATTCTTCCCCAAAAATAGAAGAGGAAGGAACATTTTCCCACTCATTTTAAAAGGCCAGCATGTATCTGATACCAGAGCCAAAGAAAAGAATGCTACAAACCAAAGTCCCTTGTGAATGTAGATTAAAATGTCCTCAACAAAACAACAGCAAGCCGAATGCAGCAGCATATTAGTGGGATTATATATGATGACCAAATAGGATTGAGCCCGGGATTCAGCAGTGGTTCAACATGGAAAAATCCATCAGTGCAATATACTATATTAATAGAAAGAAAAAATATGATCATCTTAACACAGAAAAAGCATTTGACAAAAACAGTAAAAAAGCAGCAGTAGAAGGAAGTTTCCTCAACGTGATGAAGGGCAGATATGACAAACCCACAGCCAGCATCCTGTTCAGCTGTGAAAGGCTGACGACTTTTCCTCCAAGATCAGGAGCAAGACAAGTATTCCCACTTTGCCACTTCTGTTCAACATTTTACTGGAAGTTCTAGACAGAGAAATTAGGCAAGAAAAAGAAATAAAACATATCCAAGTTGCACAGGAAGGAGTTAAACTGTATTAGCAGATGACAGGACTTTACAGGACAAGCCTGAAATGGCATATATAGCTTCCGCTAGTTTCCTCCCTGACCACACAGAATGACAAGGGAGACTGGGGCATATAATCTAGCCGTGGACCCAGGAAGAAGGGACGAGTGCATTTCGGTGGATAATCAGCAGCATCTCTCACAGCAGCATTCTTCATAGTAGCCCCAAATGAGAAACACGCCAAATGTCCATCAATTGCAGAGTGGATAAAAAGGCATAAACGCATGCAATGGACTGCTAGGTAGCAAGGGAGGCGAACCACAGCTACATAAGTCGTTAACACAGATCAATCGTGCAGACACAATACTGAGCACATGAAGCCTCAAAAAGAATATATATAGTATAGTTCTGTTTGCATAATGTTCAAAAGCAGCGAAACTACATCACTTTTTCGCGATGCATACATAAATGGTAAAACTATGAAGAACAGAAAGGGGCTAATTATGAGAACAGTGGCTGGCTCTTGGAGGCGAGAAGAGATTGTAATTGAGGGTGAGAATCAGTGATGCTTCCAGGTGGCGATGCTGCCAGGACTTCCTTACTCTAGAAAAGGGTTGCACTGATATTTTCTTCATCATTTGTTCTTTAAACTAAACTGAATGTTATATAACTCAGCTGTTTTTAAAATGCACGGTAAAACAAAGGGCTCAGAAACAGAGTTTTCTCAAACACTGAACTCTAAGAAGTTCTCTTATCATGAGCTATTGATTGATGGTGAGCAGAATACACCCAGCTCTATATAAATAGGACATGACCCAATATGTTCAATTCCATCCATGTATGCAAAAATATATCTGGGTGTTTATTTACATAAGTATATTCACATTTATTTACATACATAAGCATATGCATTTATATATGAAAGTTATCAGCCTAACGGATGATATTCTTATAAGTACTTTTATTTTACAAATGTGTATATTGTCTTTATGTGTGTGTGTGAAATATAGACGTGTCATTCTATGAATATGCATAACTGTATGTAATTGTTGGTATACCTAATATTAAATCAAATTGTACATGTGGAACAAATATAATTAAAAACTGATACACAGCTTTCTGTAAACTTAATAAGGAATAGAACTTAGAGAATTAAGAAAAAGGGATAAATTTGCCCTATGCCTTAGAGCAATCATTCTTAACTTTTTGGGGTCCCAAATCCTGTTAGAATTTAATGAAAACTATGGCCCCAGGAAAATGAATGAGCATATATATGTACATACATTATTGTGCCTGCAATTATGAGGGATTCACACATTCCTGAAGGACATAGAAGTCCTTGCACCCTCTGCTAAAATTTTCTTTAAAAAAATTTTCCCATCAAATTATCAATTGTCTTTACTAAGTTTTTAACAGAAATATCAAAACAGAAAAAAAAAAAAAAGTAAGACTGATGTTCAGGTGTTCCGTGATAGTGACGTAAGAGAGATTTTTTTCTGTTTTATCACTACCGGGCGTACCATCTTCCCTCTCCTATTACCTACTTAACTTTCCCCTTCCGCCACCCAGGATCCCACCCCGACGGTTGTATGGTAGGGCCTGCTTTACCTGCCTCCGGTCTGCCTGTTCCACTCCCTTCTACCTTCTGGCGTAAGAAGAATCTCTCCAAAGACCAGTTAGGTTTTTTTTTTCATTGTTGTTACTGCTTTGTTTTATGTTTGAGACCAACTCACACAACGTTTAAGAGTTTGCAATGCAGAGTCAAAGAGACCTTGACTGCATTTAAAGCCCAGCCTTGTTCCAACCAGCCCCAAGTGATATTGGACGTGCTGCTCGACCTTTTCAGTTTCCACTTGCTTGTCTGTAAAATGAGGACAGTAATATAATTTATGGACTGCCGTAAGGATTAACAAGATAAGGCGGGTAAAGTGATTTAAAGTGATTAGCAAGGTACAAGGACATGAGATACTCAATAAACATTTCCTGAATACATTAAATATTTAGCCTGGAGGTTTTTATAATTTAAGACTTTTACTAATTCCATGCTCCTTATTCTTTTTTTCAAAATTCCACCTCCTGCATCAGATCTTCCTGAATCCTATAGCCAGATGTGATCTCTCCCACTTCTTAATTCCTCAGACCTTTCATATTATTTTTTACAGCAGTAATAACATCAGTGGTGAAAAACTCTGGGGTCAGATTGGCTGGATGTGAATGTGGGTCACTTACTAGTTTTGTGACCTTGGGCAGGTCTTGTAAGTCCCCTATGGCTTATTTTCCTGATTTGTAAATTAGATATTAAAAAATAGTGTCTATCACAAAGTGTTTTTATGAGGACACATATAACTAATTTCTAGAAATGACGCAACTATATAGAGAAAGCTGGAGGGGCATAGGAGCAGAGGAGACCGGGAGAAGGGACTGACTACAGATGGGCACGACGGAAACTCTCTGGAGTGATGAGATATTCTAAGACTGGACTGCAAAGATAAATAAGTAAATGCCATGACAAAAATGTTAAAAACTGGGTTGTGGCCACGCTTTCATAGCTGTATAAATTAACTGCTGTTTATCAAACTGTACACTTAAGAGGAACAAATTTTACGGTATTCAAATTATACCCCAATGAAGCTGTTTTTAAAAATAAAAAGAATATGTAGTCTATGGGAAAGACTCAGGGCAGTACCAGGCACATACGAAGCATCGCTGTGTCCGTTAGCTGTTCCTATGACCTTATCCTGCCTTACGTTATGTATGATGCTTTACCAGGCTGTTCAGAGAGCATCGCAATGCGTATGCTCACAGCTCTCTCCCCGTCTCCATAAACTAAGCCTGAGCTTAATCCCGGCATCAGCCCTTGTGCATCATTAGGTCCTCGGTAAACATTTCCTGGATGCGTTGTGTGAGCCAATGGATTTTGTGTCTAGTACGAAAAAGTACTGGTTTGGGTTGAGAGTCCTGCAGGGTTGTGTATAAGAAGTCTGAACTATGCATTTATATAACTGGTCTTTTACATCTTACATAATAGAGACCAGTCAGTGTTGAGTATGGCTTTCGAATTCCAAGGATTTTGGTGATCGTTCTGGTGCTAATCTCTACAGATGTAAGACTCCACCGTGTGGTATTCCCAACATGCCAAAGCTGTCTTCATGTTATTTGAACATTCACCCTTTCCTCAAAGAATTGAGCAACTCTTCCCAAATAACTTCTTTCAACACCCTGGGCAACAGTTTCTTAGGAACCAGGAAAAAAACTGTGAATGAGAGTCCACAAGAAAGGCAGGGATGTTCTGTGCTGTTTGGAAAATAATACCAAGGAGGAAGAGGAGAAGATTATTATTAGAAACAATAATGATTAGAAAACAACAAAAAAAATCCCCCAAATCCTTCTGTCCGTCTCATCGTATTATCTAGCACTCTGGAAAAGAATAGTAATTATCAACTAAATACTGCTTGTTAGAAAGGAACAGAGGCCGAATCACCCCTATAGAGGCTCATCTAACCAGTGAGGCACTTGTTTTAGCCCAATGTAGAATTCTTTAAAAGCAACATTCAAGATTCACATCTACCTGAAAGTTCTGGGGGTAGGATCAGTTTAATTTGGAGGGATTGGAGGTACAAAGTACTGGAATTTTCTATGTTGTCAGAGAGAGAAAAGAGCTTTTCTTATGATAGTTAAAAGGAACAAAATAAAGCATTCTACCTTCTTGGGCATTTCTAAGTAAACCCAGGTCAGCGGGACTTTGATTAGGCCGTCAAGTTTAAGAACAAAATCTCTAGTTAGTCTGTTATTGCACAAATGCACTTTTTTAAAACATGATGTTTGTGGATCACTGATGTTTACAAAACCAAAACAACCCACTGAGACTTCCATCTGCCATTGTTTCATTTGAGGTGGGGAAATGGCTTCCTTCTAAAGCTTGGGGATGCCTATAATCTCTAATACTCAGAATAGACCTTTCCATTTCCTTTTACTGAATGCCCAAATTGTTTCCTTTGTTGTTCATGTAGGGACGATGGCAGGAGTTAGGAGAGATGCGTCCACTTCTCCTATGACGACAGGAAGCCAAAAGGAGCCTGTAACCCCAACCACGTCATCCTCCCAACATGGCACCTCCCGGTAAGTTGTCAAGGATTTTTTGCTTTAACGTTCCAGATAAGAGCGGGTTTGTTTGTTTTTTTTTTTGAGTTATTTAATAAGAAGTGAAAAATCTTGACAATTCTTGATGGCTCTTACTCAAGAGAGAGGCCCTTATTTGGAAGCGTCCAGGTTTGGCCAGGCTGAACTCCTGGAGCCCTTTCCTCTGTACATGTCTTGCCTTAGTTGATAATGGTAACTGGCAAGGATTTCCATAGAAGTGCAAAGCTTATCCTACCTCTCATCAGTGAGTCTGCTTAGCATCATGTCCTTCCCGATGCATCATGGGTGGTGATACACTTGGACTGTAAGCTTAGCTGACTGAATTAATGGATTCTAAAAACTACAGTGGGTTTTATACTACAATTAAAGAACTGTCAACATTTACTCATAGCAGAGACATTTGAGGAGTTAATACTTTGATCAGTCTTTTCTGAAGTCAGGAAAAGAAATATGTTATTAAAATTTCTCATATCTAAGTCAACTCCTGTCTTGTATATTTAAAGCTAAATATGCGAACATCAGCACCAAAAGGGCTTGTTTTATGTTTCCTTGGGGATATAATTATTTGAGCACTTAAATTCCTAGCAACTTATCAGATAAATACAGATTTTTTTCAGACTTAATTTTAAAGAACTTTTGGGCACTGTCTCTTACATAGTGGGTAGTAATAATTGCTGTCATCCGTTAAGCATTCACTAGGTGCCCAGCCCTGTGTATGCCTTATCTGATTTAGTCTTCATCACAGCCTTATGTGTTGGTACTACTGTCATCCTCATTTTGAAAATCAGGAAACTAAGGCTCAGAGAGGTTGAGTGACTTGCCTAAGGTCACATAGCTGGTAAGAGGTAGACCCAGCATTTCAGACTCCAAAGCTCTTTATCTTAAGTATTATAATAGTTAACAATGACAATCTTCCTATTTTGGAAGCCACCCACAATCAAGAGAAAGTTTAACTAGTTTACCACATTCTCAGCCCATGATTCCTTCCTTCTGGTTTTAATGCTGCCATTAATGGCATTTTGCCAAAGACCTACAGTGAGTTGTGGTTCTTGAAGCTTTGATGGTGCTCCCTCTTTGGACCACTTAACGTTGTGGCTTAATGCCTGTGCTCAGAGAGGATTCATCCTAGCCACCTGGAGGAGTTTCTTTGGAGGAGTTGTAAGTAAAGAGGAAAGACAATCTGGATTTTCAAACTCAGAGACTTTTACTAGTTGAAGATCTTTGACGCTGAGATCCTCAGTGAGACCTTTCACACCGCTGTAACGTGTTTTTGATGGTTGCACTTCAGTTTAGAGAGCAGCATGAAAAAGAAGACTGAAATGTTTCCCCAGTAAGGGTTTTGTGGAACATTCTTAGCACACATTTTCTGAAATGACCACATCCACTTCGTTGAGTTTTACAAGCCCAGGTTAAAATTGCTGGGAAGGCTCCTATTTATGGACCTTAAAAAATGCTTTCTTTACCTGTTAGTTCTTAATACTGCAGATCAGCTAAATACAGATTCTCGGAAGCTTCTTAAATAATGAGCATTTGGGTAAATAAAACAATGTGTAGCACGCCAGATTTTATCCTTAGAACTGCATAGTGGCATATTATAGGTCTATTATACAAAGTGCAGAGTCCAAAAAAACAGATTCAGTACTATGAAAATCAGTTACCAGGAAAACACGGTGGTTGCTTTCCAGATTTCTGAATCAAGATTATTTGAATTATTTTTATTTCAAAGTGTAAGGAAGGCATTTTTCATAGACGACTTTTACACGCAAACTCTTAATGCAAGAGAAAAACCTGTTGTTCCTCATCCCAACAAAACCTTGACGGTACCGAGGAGGACAAGAGTAAGAGCCCTTTCCTTGTTCCCCTAACCGCCAAAACTTTTCTAGACCTGCAGAAAAGGATGGGGATGGGACAGATGCCAGTGGAAGGCAGGTTTTCCTTTGTTCTCTGGACAGTGCTAACACCTAGAAGAGTCCCATACGGGCCCATGTGCAGGTGATAAAACCCTGTGTGGCAAAGTCATCTTTCTCATTCACAATGTAGGTTGCTAATTGTTCTCTCTGCTGCCTGTCAATATCATGTGAAATTTTCATTCCCCATTCAAGATGGGAAAAGTTGTGGCTGAAAATGTTAACATTTGCATTTTTATTTGTTGATTTATTTAAAGGACAGCCTCTCCTACAGCAATCCATCACTTGGTGACACCCCAAATATGAATAATGTATTGTAGACTTTGCAGTTACATTTTGTGATAAGTGTTAGAGACAGTAAAGGAATGTTAACTATGTTGCAAATGTAATATTTATTGACGCATAAAGTTTATTGCTTTCCAGGTTCAATAATACTGACCATAGGACGTTAATATCACTTATCCTGATTTTAGCAGGGCACCTTTGTATGTAGAAATATTCATCTATCTCATGCTAACAAAATAAATCTGTAATTTACAGCACAAGCTAAGAGGGCTTTATAGTGTTCCGAGAGCTGCAATGCTTCTTGCATCCCATTTTATTTCTGGCCTCCAACACTGATCACACACCTCTGAGTTGTCCAAGAAAGTAACCTCAGTGGGCATCTTGACACAAGTGGGCGGCGCCACTGAACTAAACAGTGCCATGCATTTCTGCTTGACCGGAACTGGCGACGCCCACAGACCATTCCTCCTGGAGAGGGGACTGTCATTCTGGACAGCTGATGGTTAGGTGCGCCTTCGCTCAGAAAGAAAGTTGAACAAACACTTTTCCTGACGTGACACTGAGTCAGAGTTTACCGATTCTACTTGATTCTCTGGCCTCCAGGGAGAAGCCAGAGCTGGGCAAGTTCCCAGTGAATCTGTTATGAGCTCAGATGTTGCTGAAAATTAACCCTTTTGTGCCTTCCGGAATTAGTTGTGTCCATTGCCAGCATAAAGATCGCACAAGAAATATCTGAGACCCAAAGCGAAAGAAGTGATGTTAATTAGCAACCATCAGCTGTAATTGTCATCCCCATTAAGATGCAGAATTATGTAGTTCTTCGTTATAAATAACCTTTCTAATTGTACTTGATGTATGCCAATTTAATCAAAAAGTATACTTGCAACAGGCAGATATTTGCATTAATGTAGCTTTGGATCCTCAAATCTTTTATTTCAAATTTGACTGGGGAAAAAAGTCTATTACATGCTGTGTATTTTTTATATGTTGCTGTCTTTTTCTATTCAGGTATGTAGATCTGAGACATTTTATATTAAAATGAAGACAATATCTTCTGGATGATTTAATGAAACAAATCTTGTCACTTTTTTAAATACTAGTGGAGTTTCTCTCTCTCAGTCACATGATAACAAACTGATAAACAGACTCAGTCCTTGAAGTAAAAAGTTACTATGGCCCCTTCTCTCTGTTCTTCCCTGACTCATAAGTGTTAAGACTAGTTCTCTTGGCCTCTTTCTTGTGTCTCCTGTGAGATGTGAGGAGAGAGAGGCAGATCTCAACAAATCATGCTTAATTAGTGAATTTGGTGAACTGAAGTTAGTCTATTTCTAGGAAGTACTCTTCACCTCTCTAGCTTTTTTCAGAAAAATTAGTTTTCATCACAACACCAAGTTGAAGGTTTTTGTTTTACTTTGTTTTGTTTTTTGAGTTATGTCATGGGGGATAATTTTGTAGAGCTTCTGCTTTGTAGAGGAGGGATGGAAAATATTTGTGTAAGTACTTTGAAGGACTTAATAGGTTATTTGGGGACTTTAAAAAATAATAGCTTTGTTTCTTTTTTTTTTTAAGACTTTGGTCCTTTGCTATCAAACCTTGTGCTTAATGTGTTCTGAAATTTTTGCTGTAAGTTTACACCTTGCTGAACTGTCCACAGCACAATTACCGGTGTGCAGTCATGCTTACAGCTGACTTGAAGGTGGCTCATGGAAACTCCTTGCCCACTGAGGTTGGGAGCAAGGAATCCAGGCTCAGAATATTGGAGACTTGCGCCCACACTCTGAAGCCCAGGCTAGGAAGGATCCAAGTACCCTGAAATCTAGAGCTTAAACTTCTCTCTGTTTTGAAGATACTGTTTTCCTTTGGAAAAATGTCTATCCAGGTCCTTTGCCCATCTTTTAAACAGACTATTTGCTATTTGCTATTGAGTTGTAAGAGTTCCTTATGCGTACTTATCAGATGTATAGTTTGCAGATATTTTATCCCAGTCTGTAGGTTGCTGTTTCACTTTGTCAGCTGTTTCCTCTGCAGTGCAGAAGCTCTGTCGTTTGATGTAGTTCCACCTGTTTATTTTTGCTCTTGTTGCTTGAGCTTTTGCTGCCACAGCCAAAAACTCATTTCAAAGGTTGATGTCAGGAGCTTTTCTCCTGTGTTTTCTTCTAGGAGATTTACAGTCTCTGGTCTTACATTTCAGTCTGAAATCCATCTTGAGTTAATTTTTGTATGTAGTGTAAGATGAGAGTCCAGTTTTCCCAGCATCATTTATTGAAGAGGCTCTCCTTTCCCCATTGCATGTTGTTGGTACCCTTGTTGAAAACTAGTTGACTGTTTATGCTTGGATTTGTTTTGGGGTTCTTGACTCTGTCCCATGAATCCAGGTGTTTTTTTATGCCAGTACCATACTGTTTTGATTACTATAGATTTATAATATAATTTGAAATCAAGAAGTGTGATTTCTCCAACTGTGTTCTTTCTCAAGATTGCTTTAGCTATTCAGAGCCTTTTAGGTTCCATGTGAATTTTAAGATTGCTTTTTCTATTCTTGTGAAAAATGTCATTGAAATTTTGATAGAGATTACACGAATCTGTATATCACTTTGGGTGCTACAGACGTTTTAACAATATTAATTATTCCAATCCATAAACACAGGGTATCATTCTGTCTACTTGTGTCCTCTTCAGTTCTTTTCATCAATGTTACATAGTCTTCAATGTACAAATATTTCACCTCATTGATTAAATTTATTCCTAAGTATTTTATTCTTTTTGATGCTATCATATTTTTTTGCT